CCTTCTCCTTTCTCTCCCTCTAAGGCTGCACGATAAATGTGGGAGAACATTAATCACACTTAAGTTCTTTCTTGGATATTTTTAGTCAAAATGTTGTCTTGAGTTCTTTCAAGCCTTTGAAATAAGGACTTTCTCGATCATCCCCTCTTTCTGTACATCCTTTCTTAACAAATAACCGATCATATATTCAGAGGATACCGCAGACAAGTATATACTCGAGTTCTTAGTTCCAGTCTCTCAAATTGGCAAAGGAGTAAACTTGCCTCCTCTAGAAGGAGGACAAGGTGTAGAAAGAAATTAAGTGCAGCTTAACAGTTTTGATCTTTTGATTTCTTTCTTGTTGCTTGTTATAGGGGTACAATGCCCTCAAAGATTATTTTCCAACAATGGAGATGAAGCCGAACACACAGTGTTCAAATGCTGCTTGTTTGGAACGACAGGTATAATGGCCATGGTCATACAAACGAGGAGGCATCTGTTTTTGATATTCAATTGAAGTTTGACATTTTGTTGTCTTCTACTACTCTGCAGAAGGAATACATTCTTGCAAAACCTACCCGGGATGCTGCTGCTAAAGCAAAGGCAGACAAGGAAGCGTTATCAGCACCAGAATACCCCGTTCATGCAGATAATGAATGGAACATAAGGTAAGTTTCGATACTAATGCAAATTTAGAAAGAAAGAAAAACCACGAGGTAAGCTTAAAGACAACTACTTCCTAACATACCTCATATTGGTAAAAACACTTGGGACAGCTTTGTTGAGTCTAATGTGAGCGATGGGTTCTAATAACTATTGTTGATCTTACTGTTGTTCAACTGATTGTTTGCTGCTATCTTATGATCTTTCAGCGTTCTTGATGACAATGAGGTGGATGGTGCTGTCAGTAGACATTCAGGTATTTGTCCACACTTATAAACATATTTTGCTTTTGTAGCCTCAATTTACCTGTGCATTCGCTATCTGCTAACTCAAAATTTTTCTATGGATCATAATTCATAACTCAAAAATGAAGCCCATATTGCTCAAAGTACAAAAGTTTCTTTAGCCAAAGATGTTGTGACTAACCTTTACTTTGTCAAATCCATAGTTTTCCTATTAGGCATCTGAAATGCTAAGACTAAGACTGAGAAGCATCAAGCTTAAGAATGAAATAACACGAAATTTGGTAAGTTCAAACTTCAAAGGTAAAAGAGCTAAGACAGGAGAATGGAAGTTGAAAGGATAATGGGGGAAACGGAAAATACAGTTTGTTCTGCTCAGTGTTGTCAAAGGCACGCTTAAAGCGCGCTTAAGCCCTGAAGCGAGGCTTAAAACATGTTGAGCGCTTCGCTTCGCTTTGTGGGCGCTTTAGTGTCGCATCAAGGCTCTAAGGCATATTTTTCCTTGACAATGAGTGTAATCCTGAAAATGCGACATTAAACATTTGGTATTTCACCTTATCGTAATATTTTTCAATTTCTTTGTCCATATACTTGTTATTCATGCTTATAACTATTAGTCTTGGACTACATATACATATTTTTACTTTTTCTCTAGTTGCGCCTTTGTTCATTAAAGCCCACGCTTTATTTGCACTTTGCGCTTAAAGCCCCAACGGACCTTACAGCTTTTTTGCGCTTTTCGCCTTTGATAACACTGGGACTTCTGCTATTGATTAGGATAGGCATGCCAACTGCCTTAAACTGCAAGTATGCTGCATTAATATAGTAAGATGCATTGATACTGCTGTGTTGTTTTTCTCTTCTGCAGTATTTCTTGATACTACATATTAGTAAAATCTTACCTTATCAAATATATCTTACTTTATATATATAATCACAACACATACTTAGTCTAGAACATTATTTTATCTTGGAAGTGCGCCTATCTTTTTTTTCTCTAGAGTCCAATATCAGCCACATGGAAAGATGAGTACAGTCGTACATACTGTAAGAGGGGCCTTGTGTAGCTTTAGAGTAAACTTAATAAAGTTTTGCTGAATAGATTGCCCTTTTTTATGTGAATTCACTACATAATGTGTGCCACCAAATTCTGCATCTGCTGAAATTGGACTGTCTATCTGTTGTATATAGACATTCGAAAAGTGCATAGAATTTTTGTGCGACAATGCTGCCAGATATACTAGGAAAATCTCTCTTTCTTGTGTGTAGCTTTTTAGGGTAGGTCTCTAGTTTATACAGATGGAAGTCAAACATCACTGTTCATATGTGTAATGCTCTGGCTTTTGAGTAATAAACTTAGAACAATTCTTTACACAATAGAGAATGGATTTTAGGAGGTCACTTTACATTTAAACAAGTAACTGGAATTGATCACTAGTTCATGGAATTATGTTACGACAACTAGAGGAAGGAAATATTCCAGATATCATTGCTACAGTTTCTTCCTACAATTATACGTGATGCATCGTATTTAAGGTTACAACTTAAAATGTAAAGAGAAAGAACTAATGGTTGAAATAATCTGAAAATATCATACTTGGTATTTATACTTTAACCTGAATGTATTATTTTTTTTTTTTTTGTAGGTGTCCTTCCTGAAGGTATTGTTCATGAACTGCCAGTAGCTGATGAATACCCAAAACCAGCTATTACAGAGACTGATGGTCCTGCGGATGACCTTGAAGAACTCAGAAGACAACTTGAGGCCCTTAACGCTGATTAGATTACTGAAATACAAGGAGAGAGACTCTTGCTGAAGAGAAAAGGAAAACTTGCTCTATTGCATGATACTCATGTAGAATTTACTTGCTTCAGAGATCACTTAGCAGGGGTGGCTCTGGGTTAACGCTACTAAAATTTCTGCTTTAAGCCCTCAAGAGTCAAAGTGCCCCCAAAACTTTTTCTATTGGTTGTAATTATTTATATTAGTAAGAATTTTTTAAGTTAACAAAACATTAACATTTTGTTTCAATACACTACATTGGTTTTAGTTATCAAATATTTTATTAGTAAGATATGAATATTTGAATAATTTAACACAAAATATTAAAATATTAGACAATGTTATACTGCGAAATACTTAAAAGAAAACTTAAAAATTTGAAAGAAAATTTGTTAAGATCATACAATTTTTTCTTGGTTATCCAACCATTGTCACGTCACTAATGTTATTTCCTCATATCTTATTAAGTTTTGACTTTAGGCCTCCAATTTCATTGAGCCGTCCTGCCACTTAGTTTGATAGTTATGGGATTTGGAGGCAATTTTTAATACTCTTAATGCTCACTGTCTAAATGAAGGGATAGTTGTCCCATACGGCGGGGTTGAAGACGCGTAAAAGACAATGAACTAGTCTTATACAACTTACTGACAGAGATGGGTTTATTGTTGTATTACGAAAAGGCTAATCAAATGTTGGCACCATCTGGTTTCTACCAATTTTGGACCTCTAAAGGTGTTATATTAATGAGGACAACTTAAACAATGTTGAAGTATTCTTTCTTTTGTTAATTGAATAAGTTGAAAAGTGCCCCTCGACTCCAGGTTTTACCAAATGAAGGCCGATTCCCTATTTGTTATAGGCTTAGCAAGGAATTAATGCCCCAATCCATAGACATCGGAGAATCTGTTTACAAGTGGATTTCTACATAAGCATATTTTCTGTTTTAAACTAGTTAAAAGATGGATACAGATGGAAGTATTACAATACTTATTCTCTGCATAAAGAGAGTTCACTTGGGACCTATAAAACTGCTTAATGGTAAGTTAACTCAGCTTCTTTAGAACAACGAGTGAAGGTGCTTTAGGGAATAGTAAGAAGTTTGAGCTTCAACGCAGCAGTTCAAACATTGGCACACATCTCAAGAGTTGAACACCCTACATGGTAAGTTGAGAATCCTCAGCCATCTTAGCAGCATTAACTAAGATGCAATCAATCCAGTCGATCATTTAATCAAGAGAGAAAGAGCTGCATAGACACATCAGGACCGTCTATAGCTCTTCAAACTTGATCGAGATCTCTTTCATTTGTGGTTGATGCCTCCTTACCTATAAATCAAGGTTTGAAGAAGCTCACAAATCAAAATAGCTAATAAACGGTGCCTCCCTTTTTTACCAAAGATTATAAATCATGCAAAGAAATCTTTTTCCCGTAGGGGAGGTGTTGCCTGTTGAGGAAAGAGAACATTTCTCAGAAATTGACACTAATAAAATGACTTACTTTTATGCCTGCCATTGACAAAAGTTTGTGGGAAGCAATATACGCCACGTCAGAACCGTCCAACCTCTTCTCCACAAAATAAATGACCTCTGAAACACCAGACTGGAAATACAGACATTTGTGAAGTATAAATTACTGGAAAGCCAAAAAGGGAAGGTGCAAGAAGCAGAAATGCATAATTAATTAAACATCCTAGTTCCGGTGCACAGAAGTCAATATCAGAAAATACGAAAAGATTCTTGTTATAGCTATTTTTTTACATTGCAATCCTTATTAATCCTTTTATAACTACTCTTTGTATCTTGAAAAAGAGACAAAATGCGCCTACGTAAAGTCTGTATTTATATCCATTTGCAAGGTAAAATATGTGAAATCCTGACGCCCCCAGTTTTCCTTGCAAGTGATATGCAAATTCTTTAACAAATCATTCAATAGCCTCCCCTAAATGGAAACCTAGCAATTTGTTTTGCCCTCGCATAATCTTTGCAAGAGCATGTTCTATCAAAATTTATGAAATGAACATCCAGAAAAAGCTTAAACTTCCAATGATGGAGGCAAATTTCCATTTTATCAACATAGTAGAAGATGTTGCTGGGGGTGCTATAGTTATGTTGAAGTCATAAAGAACCACGCTTAATTCACCTGAATGATAATCTTCGCGCATTCATTGCAAGGAAACATTGTGACATAGAGCCTCTGCATAATACGGATAAGACATTCTGTGAGTTAATACTGCGCAAGTTGCAGGAGATAAAATAATTTCCAATAGAATTGAAAAGAAAAGAANATAATCGGAAAGCTTGAATGAGGTAGAGTCATCAAATGTAGATTGAGAAAAACTTGTTTCTTGAATTAAGATAGTTATTGGTAATTACACATTTAAAAAGGGCATTATGTAGCTTACAGACAAAATTGCATATATAAATGTTTTGGAGAAGAATATAACTTACGGATACTTTGTCTCCAACGGATTTCCATTTCTAGATTTCTGAAATGGTAGCGAATGAGTTAGAATAACGCTGACGATAACAAAGAACATTTCTCAGCAAACAGTACCAACCTTTGCCCAGGGAAGCTTATCATCTGAACAGCCACGTGGGAACCCATTGTATCCAATGCCTGGCTAAAAGCAGAGCATAAATTAGATGGAATTTAATAACCTATTGGCAGTAAATATGTTGCTTGAATGTGCATATTCTATAAGTGATGCAATTAGCCTAATCAAACATTCAAGTAGGATGGAAACACAAGCCATATGGAGAAAGATAACAAACCAGAGAATAAAGATGAACTTCCAATATCAAAATTCCTATGTGGGTCTTATATAATTCACCAATATACTCCCCAGCGTTACAATGTGGCCATATGTATTCTAATTCAAGTGATGAAGTTGAGATAAAACATACAGTAAATAATATTTAGTCTGCAGGAAGAGTAAAGCAACTTCAAGAGGCAACTGAAGACTTGTGTCTTGCAAATGTTCACCATTTCTAAGAACGCACTTATGTTTAGTGAATGTAGCTTTCACCTCCCTACTCCTGAAGTATTCACCTTTCCATTTTCATCTTTTTCTGTTCATATTAAATAAGAAAATCCTAGGATGCAATAAGTAGAACGGCCATGCTATCATCAGGGTTATGAGATCAGAAATGAATATTATAGTATATTTAAGTTAATATAGCAAAATCTCAAAGTCCAAAGTGACTGAATATGTGCCCTTTGATCCACATAACCAAATGAGCTAGTTAATCTATCTTTCAGCTACTCCAAAAGACAATCAATTGATAGGAGTATTATGTAGTTCTCCCTAATCAAATATAATTTGCAAAATAAATTGCAAAAATAAAACTTAAATGATACGGAACATTTTCAGCTGTCAACAGACAAAGAAGTGATTCCTTCAAATACAGCCTACCTAGTATTACACCATTTTGACTCACCAAACATGCTCCAACCTGCCAAACAACCAGAAAGTGTTTAGTTTTAACGGAGCTTGTGAAACCTGAGTTGAGAAAGTCAACCTTGAAGTAGCACTAGAGCAGTAAAATGTGGGAAAGAAAACATACAAAAGAGCTCAGAGCATTTAACTTGAGCACCATGAACAAGAGTTATTCCAACAAGTACAGCTTAACTTGATACTGTCTATAAATAGCTTCATTCAGTTGGAAGGAACACGGACATCACTCATGATTAGATAACTCTTTTAGTTTGAGGATAAAAGGGCAAGAACTACTAATCACAACTTTGGTTCCGTCTAGAAGACAGAGATAAATTCAGTAGGACATACAAATTTTAGTAGCCTTCATTCCAGATAAGAAAACTTCAATTTATGCAACATTTGAAGACTGCTTGGCATTTTCAATTATGTTTGAGAATATAGTTGAGTTCTTCCTATTAATTATGAGGATCGGAAATATTTTCTATAAATACTCTAGACTCACAACTTAGCATCAAGGACACAACTTTCAACAAACATTTGGCGTATAATGCTACTTATCCCTTCCAAAAAGACTTAGAATTCATACAAAAAGCTAAATAATCGGTTCACAATTAGACTAGTACCTGCCTGTTGGGATCCTTGGACCGTTCAGCAGATAGAAATGCAATCGCCATAAAATAATCATCCCATGACAAATACCTAAACTCACAGAACCATTTTTCTTTACTTTTTTTCTGAAAATAAAAGTAAATTACATAAATTTCGAACTTTAAATACGATAAAAGTAAAAATGGACAAACCCTTGGCGTTTTGAAGGATCAAATGGGTTCTGAGAAGATGACTTCCTCTGGTGGAAACCGTCTGAATCAGTAATTGAACGCTTTTTGGGAGTGAAGAAAAGGTGAATGGTTATAGCAGAAGCAAAGGCACCAAGTACTGTGGCAGCTGAAACCAGCGCTACTTCTCTGGAATTCATGGCGGCGACTGGAAATTGGAACGTTGCAGTAGAAGCGAAGAGTAAGGGAATTTAGCCGCCAAAAATTGAGATTAGCAAAATTGTAGCGGGAACGCTTATAATAATTATGCTTATTCGCGCCAAAATAGTACCTACTAATCCAAAGCCGAATAAAGAAATTACTGTAATATTTAAACAAAAAAATGATGGAAAAATAATGCTAATTTTCTATAGTAAAGTGATAAAATTAACAGTAAAAAATATATGCCATGTAATTATTAGTTTGACGTAAACTGAAGTCATATTTTTATAAGTCAGATTTTTATCGGGTATGCACAAAGAAAATAAGATTGTTACTTAAAACAAAAAGAAAGAAACAACATTTTATCGTTTTTTTTTTCTTTTCTAAAGTTTTTAGTCATGTTTCCTTTTTGCTATTTTTATATTAAAGCTTAACTTTTGAGAAGTAAAAAAAACCTTCTTTTTCTGAAATAAAATAATATTCCTCACCACAATGTTTTTCTCTTCTTGGTGTAGCAACTATTTAAAATGAGAAAAGAAAATAACGCACATATTTTTATTTATTTTTTTGCTTACTTAAAACTATTTCTGTTGGCTACACATAATTAGTGATCAGCTTGTGTTTTCTTTTGTTTTTATTCCCCTTTTTTCCTACTAATAAATGATTAATGCTTATTTTGCTGGAGGCTTTATGTTTGCCTTCCCAAACATGCTGAGATCAACGTTCCCACCTATATTCACGGTCTTTCCGTCTAAGGCCAAACCTCGCAACTATTTAGGCACAATTATCACTGCAATATCAAAAACCCCACAAACTGTTCGACAAAATGCCGCAATAGAAAATATATTCCTGCAACAGCCAACGTCAGCTTACGTTCACCTCCCATTCTGCCGAAAACGCTGCCACTACTGTGACTTCCCTATCGTCGCTCTCGGCTCAGCTTCACCTCAAGCTGATGACGACCCGCGAATTCTTAACTACATTGATTTTCTCTGCAGAGAAATTAAAGCCACCCCAACACCTTCCAACCACAAGTCACCTCTTGAAACTGTCTTTTTTGGTGGAGGGACACCTTCACTTGTGCCACCAAGATTAGTATCTTTAGTCCTGGACAAATTGGACTCTAAATTTGGTGTATGTTCTGATGCTGAAATTTCAATAGAAATGGACCCTGGTACATTTGATGCTGCAAAGTTGAACGATTTGATGAAGTTGGGTGTTAATAGAGTTTCTCTAGGAGTTCAGGCATTCCAGGAGGAATTGCTTAAGAGTTGTGGGAGAGCTCATGGCGTACAGGAAATTCATGAGGCTATTGACATTGTTGGATCATGTGGTGTTGAGAATTGGAGTGTGGACCTTATATCTTCACTTCCTCATCAGAAGCCACATATGTGGGAACAAAGCTTGAGCCTCACTATTCAAGCAAAGCCTACACATGTCTCAGTTTACGATTTACAAGTTGAACAAGATACAAAGTTTGGATCTTTGTAAGTAATACAACCTTCTCTTGCAAAGTTGGGATTTTCTTTGCGAACATCTTTTTCCGGTATCTCTTTTCAGCTATTTTTCAGATTGTATTGGGATTGAAGCGTAGTTGATTGAATGTTTGATAGTCTCTTATCCGCTAACTGTATAAAAGCCAATATTATTTGTTTTTTATTGCTACTTTTTCTATAAGTTGTACTCCAATATGTATTTCAGCAGTAAATCTGACACTTCTGACATTGTTCAAGTATAGAGAAGAATATCATTAAATCTTTTACTAGTATAACTGTACAAGTAAAAGCAACTTCACAGTGAGTCACTTACACGTTCAACTTTTGAACTGAAATTGTTGTGCCCACAGGTATACAGCTGGAGAGTTCCCTCTGCCTTCTGATAATCAATCTGCTGAGTTTTACAAAATGGCCTCTGAAATGCTAAGAAATGCTGGTTATGAGCACTATGAGATAAGTAGCTACTGCAAAAGTGGTTATCAATGCAAGCACAATTATACATACTGGATAAACAAATCTTTTTATGCTTTTGGACTGGGGTCAGCCAGTTATCTTAATGGGGTAAGGTTTTCAAGGCCAAGGAAGCTGAAAGATTACATGGGTTATGTGCAAAATTTGGAGAACGGACTAGTGAATTGTTGCCAGGACAGTAAAGTAGACACTCAAGACATAGCGACGGATGTTGTTATGCTGTCTCTGAGAACTGCTAGAGGGTTGGATTTGAAATCATTTGGTAAAGCTTTTGGAAGCTCAACTGTTCTCTCCCTTTGCAAGGTCTATAAGCCTCATATTGAGAGTGGGCATGTTGTCTGTTTGGATGAGCAGAGGAGGAAAATCGAGGCAGAAGAATTCAGATCTTTGTTATCTGAAGGGGACAAGGTTAATGAGGTATTGGCATATATCAGGCTTAGTGACCCTGATGGTTTCCTATTATCCAATGAGTTAATATCCCTCGCGTTCAACGTGTTAACTCCATAAATTTCAGCATTGATGATTCAGAGAAGATTGCTCTGAGCTGCCTTTTTAGCAGTGCTGGCTGTTAAAGGCAGGACTGTCAATACTTGGATGCCATCAGATGGTTGGTGTCTAAGATCTGTCAAGAAATGTGAACTGGTGGAACCCTTAATAGAGCAAAGGCGGGCGCGTATGACATATACTGCAGGACGAAACATATAATTATTGGTAGAGAGCAGAAGGTTTTGTTAGCAAGCATATTTAGAGCCCGTTTGGATTAGCTGATTTGAAGTAGCTGATAAGCATTAGGTGCTGAAATTGATTTAATAAATAAGCAGTTACGTGTTTGGGTACAAGTGTTGAAATTGATAATAAACTGCTGCAGTATTTAATAAAAAAAATGCTTATAAGCTCTTTTTCTGTTAAAATGACTTATATAACCTTAGAATTTTTTACACTTATAAGGGCGTAATTTTTTCTAAATTTTAGATTCTAGATTGATTCAAATACAAAATATTCTATTTATCATTTCATTTTAAATACAACTGTAATTAAATAAGATAATTTTTATGATAAATATAATGTATTTTATGATAAACATATAATCATAAATTATAATAATTAATAAATTGACAAAAGTTTCTCAATAAAAAAAATAAATCTAAATAGGATAATATATTTGAAGAGAAACACTGGCTTCATCACCACAACACTTTGAAACCAATACACCAAAAAGTTGATATGTCTTCGTTTATTACATACAGTTCAAAGATTAATACAAAATCACATAGATACAAATATGCAAAGGAATAGAGAATTTGCTTACCTCAAGTAGTCAATGGGAATTGCAAACTTGAAGAGACGTGGGTTTTAGGTTGAAAAAATACGTGAGGCAATGAGTATCGATGCAGGAGTTTTGTTTTGAAAAGGAATATTTTAGAGATAAAATAGTAAAAATTTTGGTCAAACTTAAAGTGCTTATAAGCTAAAAATCAATAAGCTAAGGGATGACCAGCTTATGGCTTTTGGCTTATAAGCACTTTTAACTTTACCAAACGCGTAGATAAGCCAAAAAATATTTATAAGCTAGTTTGACCAGCTTATAAGCTTAGCCAAACATACTCTTCGTCAAAAGTAGCAGTAACTGTAACTTGGGTATATGACACTCACTGTTTAATCAAAAAAAAAAAAAGTCAAGATTTCATTCATAAATATCGACTTGGAGTCCAAAAATATGTACGAATTGTGTATCTAACTTAGACCAAGTCATCCATAGTCGTCTATTACGCATTTCTTGCTATCAATGCACGTGACATTCTCTCCTTACAACGGAAATACACATGAAATAATAAAGGTTTTTAATGTTTTCCATATCATTATCATTTTTTTGAATCGATCTCTTATTTCATTATTCCATAAAATGAGGCATAGAGATGACTTCTTCCAGGTTGTCTTTCTTTTTACTGCCAGTCTTATATAATCTCTAGCTTACTGTTGCTTTTGCCGCTGTCCTCAGCAACACCCACCGTAGGTTGTCTCAACGAGAATACAAGAATCCATCGTTGCAAAGCCAATCTGCTCTCGCAACAAGAGATAGTTTCCTTTACAGATTAATCTAACAGGCTAGCACCGTTGGCAAGGTTAATAGCTGTGCTGATTGCTGTCACATCGCTAATTAGGAACGTTACTGCACTCTTCCACCCCTCCCCTAAAACAAAACTTTCTTTGATTCATCCCCTTGTCTGTATAAGATAATAATGCAGCTTCCTGTTTGCTTTCAGAAAACAAGAAAAGAAATTAAAAGGATCACCGATTGGCCACCTTGTCTTTCCATTTGCTAACTCACACTTTCACGAGCTTATCACTTCCCAGTCATAACAACTAAAGTTGGTCAAGACACCCCAAAAGAAAACTTTAGATTACCCAAAGAAACATACAACATGAAGCTTTCATGTTCCCCCAATGTAAAATTGATAAAGAGACAACTGATTGCGATTGTCTTCCCATGAAAACTGTTGTATGGATCTGTGAGAAGTACTACAACAGAGAGTAAGGAGTTTAGCTTCTGCTTCAATGATATTGGCTTATCCAGACTGACAAGACTTAAATGCCAAGATGCATTATACCATGCTGACGGAGGATATGCATTGTCTTCTACATCAGAACTCGGATCATCCAGCAACAGTAAATGATTCGTTGCCAAGAGATGTCTACAGCAGGACAAGAAAATGCACAATGTTAATCCAGTCCATTCCTTCATGATGCAAATATTCCAGTTTACTATGAAATACATGTAATAAGCTGGTGTATCATTACGAGAAAGGAATCAGTTCTTTCTGACATGAAGTAAACAAGATAGATAAATATACTCACCAAAAAAAGTATCATCGCTGTACACAGCTAAGAAGGTTTTGCTTTCCTTCCAACTTTTGTTATGCGTCTAAGTTCTTGAGTTCCCTTTTTCATTTCTCTGCATGAAGAAGTAATTGTTTCAATGCAAATTTTGAGGGAGACTGGGTGATGCAACGGTTGGAGGAAGTACCTTTGATACAAATAGACAATAAGGTAAAATAGAGGGAGCAGCATCAATGTCAACACTGAAGCTGCCAAGTAGAAGCGATTTGTATGCTTCTGCAAATATAACATGTCACATGCATAAGAGATGATACGATTACAAAATGCATAGAAAAAGCCCCCTAGAACACGTAATGCAACCGCCTCGCAAAATTACCAAACAGGTTTTACATCTCAGTAGTACTGTACGAAATTATAACCTTAACTGAATGTTGTGGTCATTTCTACTCCTACAGACACAAGTGCATGAACCCCAAAAAGGTAAAGATTCCATAATCCCATGTACAACTCTTATTCTGATCTAACAGAAGGCATATAATTAAGGCATTTCAGTAATCAAACTGTACCTTTCCTCCTCTAGAAAAGGGTTTTCTTCCCCCCGCACAAGTGTGAGCATCACAAAATTGGCGCAAGAATAGTTCTGCCATCAAATCGACCAAAAGATCATCACAAGGGGAAGCAACTAGTTAATTACTTTAGGTCCCAACACTATGGAGAAATCTTACCATGAAGACGAGTAGCTGATGGACTCTTATTAGCAGGAAAACAGCTGTCTGCAAGACCCTGCATGGAAATAGGGGAAAACAGTGGACATGATCACAGAGAAATCAGTGGAATTGGCAAATTAATCCCAACTGAAATACAAGTTTAAGTACAGAAGGTAACCTCACATAAATGACGATTTTTTGCTGCTGCCGCAGGATTACACTTGGCCTTCTTGGATTTAAATTCCATCACAAGGTCACAATGCAAAGCTCCACATACATCTGCCAGGCATTTGCTGTGACTCTGAGCCATTGAGATCATATGCTAAGATTACTTCATACCTTTTCTTTTTATAAAGAAGATTATTTCATACCTTATAAAAGATTAATTTAATTCAAAAATCTAAGCATGGTAAACGCATGATAAGTAATAGAATACTCCGACCTGGACCAAATTATGATTCTTGTGAAATTAAATGACCACAGAATAATCAGCCTACTTACATTTGGTTTTTGAATGCTATGATGAAATCCATTTCTGTAATGGGGGAAATGAAGCTTAGTAAAACCCAAATACCTGTTTGGACAAGTTTTTAGGAAAAGTAGGTTCAAGTTGTCAGTAGTTTCTGAAAGGTCAGATCGCAGATGGTTTCCTTAAAGCCCCCCAAATAGCTCCTAATAGAAACAATCCTTTGTGGACTGTAATTTATCACTTTATTCTTGAAAATTCATCTCCATCCCCTTAGCGCTACACTATTTATAACAGATCCCAGATGAGGCCCCCAACCAGCAGCTCACAAACTCCCAGCTTCCGTGCAATATAAAGAGCAGTAAGCTAGAGATACCCTAACACTGCTAATTTAAAATTTTTGTTTTTGCATATAACTCAGCAGTAAGCTAGAGATACCCTATCACTGCTAAATTGATAACTTTTAATCATATAACTCAATTAGACTCAACCTAGAAAATCAGCAGTCACACATACCTTGATACCGTGCAAAATAGTGCTACCTAAATCTAGAATTCTACATATTAACTGCTACTAATGTAGCACCGATAGTTGCACTCTCTAATAGCCAAAATAAACACTCTCCAATGCCGAATGAATACATAAATTAAGTGGGCATTCAGATGAGTAAGGATTCTTAAAAGAAACCAGAAGATTTATAATTTTTTGGTTATTAAGCATCACTAAGTTAAGTTTTAGACAAGTCATTAACCTCCAAATACTTGTGACAAGAGTTGCTATAGTTCACTACCACCTTTCTTGGAGTTACCTAATTTTATGTGCTTTAGCTACTAAAGGTTCAGAAAATCATAAAGGTAATAAGGAACCAAACTAAACAGAGATTATTTAAAGGAAAAAATATCAGGTATTCTACTATTAATTTTGTATCTTTCAGGATTAATTCTATGAATTGTTTACTAAACTCCAACAATATATTATGGCATCAATGATAAAAAAAACTTTGCTTTATAATAGTAAACAGGAAAAAGGAATAAGAAAAGAATGGTAAATATGCCTCTTAGATTAGAAAATTATATCTTTTGAAATAAATAGAAAACAAAGTGGAAGAAGATGAATATAAAGTGGCTAGATGCCTGCTCAATCTTTTTTGCTGGTCTAAGATAGCTACTGTACTTAGTAGTGACCAATTTTTGGATTTTGTTTGTTCCCTTGTCTTAGATTGACACACCGTAAAGGGGCTAGATTTCTTTTATTTATGCATCTCAACTTTTGTATCTATGCATCTTCTATATAGCTGGGCCGGTTTCCGTAGAAGAAGCAAGCAAAAGGCGTGGAAGTTCGCCCCGTTAGCTCTCATGTGGTTAGTCTGGGGAGAGAGAAATAGGAGAGTTTTTGAGGGGATTGAGTCTTCGTTTTCACATCTTAAGAATAGTCTTTTATCTCTGATCGCTTTTTGGTGCACACATGTAGCCCCTACTTGTGTAGAAGATTGGGCGTCATTTGTAGGGAGTCATGTTCTGATGTAAATTCTCTACTTTTTGTATACTTCTTGTATGCGGGAGTTTTTTCTCCCTTTTGATTAATACAATTTACCTTATCAAAAAAAATATAATCTTACTTCATCCAAAAAAAAATTATATAATATAGATAATAACGATCATATGAACCACCAGTCCACATGAATAGCTATACTGCAGAAGAGTGCATGAAGACTGGTTTTCTCACGCCTATTGCAAGAAAACTTGGAGTTAACCGCAAACACGAATAATATATGATGCTTACAACGTCCAGAAGATTGGAATGCCTGTTGTCAAAATGCTGATCAAGAAATTTTTCAGCCCGAAAGCTTTTTCTGCAGTATCCACATTTCCACTCATTCACGTCAAGATGGATCTTATGTTCCTCCTGATCTCTGAAAATATCATTACTTGGATGAAGTCTACACTGCCTAGGGAGCTCATACTTCTCTCTTTCCACAAAGGGCATTAAGTACTGCACCGCACACAAAGAATAAAAGAACAATTTTTCAGTCCTGTATGTGCAACAGCTTTAAGTTGAGTCCATACAAAGTACTTTTGCAGATACCTCCTCAATAACTTTCCAAGCAGCCCGGCTTCTATCTCGGGAGCAATGAACTTCATGAACGCGTGGTTTGTCTTGTTCAGGACTTCAGAGCATAAAAAACAATAGTAATTTAGATTAGTGCACATCTAATAAGGAATAATTTTCAAATATATTTCAGTAATACAGTTGAAATCCGGAATTTATCTCATACAGTATCTTGCTGAAAAAGAATATAAGGCCTGAAAAGGAGCAAAAACAAGAACATTTAACCATGAAACAACTTCTTTTTTATTTTCTGATAAATTACTATGACACAAACTTAACTGCTTCAGAGAAATATCTTTGAATGTATTTTTAAGAGGCTCCTTTTCGGAATAAGAATCAATAAAAGAGAAACAAAATATTACCTTGATGCATGCTGCTCTGTACCCTATGCACAAATAAATAAAAAGTGGTCAGCCAGGAAAATACCAGCTCCAAAAAGTGATTTTTGTTCATAATTTAATTTCCAATACATGCAGTTACATCCACACAAGCCCACAAATAAATAACATGGGTTATCACTGATGATTGCAAGCAATTCAAATAAAACGTTACTTATAAATCAGCTAGCCGTGAAACCAAAAGGTTAATTTAGTTCAAGAATTGCAATATTAGATGTAAGAAAAAGCACATGAAACCTAATTCCATAGCTTTTTCATTAAAACCCTAACTTAACTGGGAATTCAAAAAGAAGAAAAAAAAAAGCAAAATTAAATCAAGAACAAAAATTTATCCCTTCGATCTAGGGCAGAATAATCATATAGAGTATGTTTTGAAAAATAATTCTTTCTTTTACCAGTACAGAAGCAAACTGTTCGTTAGCCGTTAAACATATGTAGTTGAAAAAGAGAAGAAACCTGATCTGAGTGAGAAAGAGGTGAAGTTGCGGATATGGATGAAGAGACGGCAATGATCAATACAAAAGAAAGAAGAAGAGAATAGGGATTCTTTGCTCGTCTTTGGCGAAGATTCTCCATTCCCCTTCTCTCTATGTATATATATCCAAATTCGCAGGGAGTTGCCGGCTTGCAGCTATATGTTCTTCCTCCCGTTCTTTCTTTTGTGAGACGAGACTTGACTTTTACATTTTTATCAACTACTTACTTCATTTTGCTTCTTTTCCGGGTTTTTTTCCCTTGAAAAATATGAATTTATTACCAGCCTAATTTTGTTTTTTTAATATTTATTTTTATTGTTATTTTTTTCCCACGTGAGAGTGAATAATAATAAAGAGAAGAGGAAACCTTTCTTTTTTTCAAAGTACAACATATTTGTTCTTTTAATTTAATATTGAAGTACTATTTTGCAAGTATTTGCTCCAATTTGCTTTGATAACGGATTATTTGTGACTGTAGGTAGAATTAGTAAAGCCGTTGCATGTAGGATGGCAAATGGGGTGGGGTTGACAAAAAATCTTAATGGGTCAGGCTAGGAGTGGACGTTCGGTCAGTTCGGTCCAGTTTAAAGAAATTTCGTTCAGTTATTTGGCTTTCGGTTTTGTAAAAGTAATAATCAAAATCGAACTGAAATAAGTTCGGTTCAGTTCGGTTTTCTAATTTCAATTTGGTTTATTTCAATCGGTTTTCAGTTTGAACATTATCATATTGGACTCTTTCTATGTAATAATTGGACTGACGAATTTATTGAATTTCTTTCAAAATTTCGGTAAGTTAGAATAAAATTGTAAGTTTTGTTAGAGTTAAAAGTCATAAGGAATATGAAATTAGGAATAGCCGATTGGGTTATTTATTTGGATTGGATTTTTTACAGACTTCAAAATTAGGCATATATTATTATCTACGGGCTTAGCCTATATATAACTTAAAGAATCTGTCTGCTAATAATTCGGTTTTTTGGTTAACCGAACCAAATAAATTAATAACCGACAACCGAACTGAAAAATTGAATAACCAAAACCGAAATAAAAATATTTTCAGTTCGATCGGTTTCTTCGGTTCTGACCGAAATATACCCACCCCTAGGCAGGGCAGGGCAAAATCTTAATAGGGCAGGGCAGGACAAAGTATTAATAGGGCACGGTGGGGCGGGTCAAACAATAACAACATACCCAATATTATCCCACACCGTGGGGTCTGGGGAGGGTAGTGTGTACGCAAACCTTACTCCTACCTTGTGAGGATAGAGAACTTGTTTTCAATAGACCCTCGACTCATGAAAGAATAAGCACCGCATTAATAAAAATATGGACAAGAAGGGACAGTACCAAAAAGCCATATAAAAGTAGAATAAAAATAATAAGACAGTAAGGTGACCAACAATGAAAGAAAACAACGCTTAGGCATAAAAATCTACTACCAACAGAAAGCTAGACTGCTTGCTAATACTACTGTTATGAACACTCTAGACTACCTACTCTACTACCCTAATCCTCGACCCCCATACCTTCCTATAAAAACACATTTTCAAAAAATAATTAATGGGGCAGGGATAGTTGTCCTTTTGCCGGCCATTGATGAAAAATATAAGGTTTATTCCGGAGGTTATATATGGGGGCATGAGATACATTTTATTATTATTGGTGATGTCATTCATTAATTTTCAGAGGCTAATTAATAAGCAACTTGATACTATATACTTTTATGCTCTGTTTTGTTAAATTGTATGTACCTACTATCAACCTGCCACCATGTGTATGAATCTCGTGGTGAAAAAGATAATTAATTGGTATATTGCACACTAAATCTAATTTTTGGATCAAAATATGATCCCAAAAAAATCTAATTTTACTGTCACTATAATTAAAGTTCAGTAATAATGCTTGAGATTAAACTCGACTAGCTCAAAGAAAGTTAATCGAATGAAGTCATGAATATCGTTAACGAACTACAACAAATATAAGGAGAATTTAGTCTTTGATACATTATATAACATTGATAAAAAAAATCAATAAATATGCATAAACAACTAAATAAATGTAGAAATTCTTTCTCTTGGGAACTATGAAAACTTTTTCTCCCCCTCTCTTTCCACTTTTCTGATGGCCATCATCGGTATCATCCCTAACTAATATCGGCCCTAAAATGCCTAGAAAACTCCTCTCCTCACGGGAGAGAAGTCTTTCAATATAGTAGATATTAGTGAAAACAATAATAGATGGTTCCTTATTATAGAAAGTAACCGGCAATTTACATGCAGATTAAAAATTAATGAAGAAAATCTCTGGTGAGTTTGCGAACAACTGGTACAAGTTTCTCTGGGAAACGAGAACTTATGTAGGAGATGGGGTCGGAAGATTCAAGGGTATATCTACAGGGTTTATCAAAACTTCAATAGCTATGGGCGATTTGTTAGGATTGAGGCATCGTTAAGGGTCCACAAATCCTCTGTTATAATCCATGAAAAGGAATACGGCTTTGGATGGAGGGATTTCGCTCGTAGAATTTTAAGTTTTCTAGGCCAACGCAAAGTTTCTTCTCAAATAGTGACTCCGGGAAGGTCATACATTATCGCAACGACAAAACCAAAATGGTGAAACCAGCTTCTTATATAGCTGAGGTGGTGGGGAACTTGATTAAGTTTAATAGTGAGGCAAGTACCAATGGATCTTAGTTTCTTTCCAACTGTCTGGTTGGCAACTTCAATGACCCATACAGTCCATCGCCGAGATCTGAAGTGATAAGGGCATGGTTCACCAAAAGATGGGAAGTAACCGCTGGAATTAATGTTACTCTGTTAGCCCACAATCAATTTCTTTTCAATTTTCCCTCACAGCAAGAGGCAACAAGGGTGAAAGAGGGTGAATGGTACTGGAATGGAAGGAAATTATCCTTAAAATGGTGGTCGCCGGTGGCCGGCGCAAATCTGTCTAAGCACAGTTCAGAACATAAATGGGTTAGAGCTTTTGGGGTTCCTCTACACGCCTGGTCGGAAAGTACTTTCATTTTTAATTGGAAATTTGTGTGGGGGTTGATGTTGAAATGAGGGACAAAACTCAGCTATACTAGGCTTAAATCTCATAAAAGCTTCTTTAATATAAATTTCAAGCACTATTGAAATAGATTGTGGGGACCGGGTTTACGAAATTTTTATTTTGCCGGATGAACACACGCAGCCCATCAAGAAAAAGGTCGTCGGAGTTCAGATTCAAAAAGTTGTGGAAGTGGACCTGCAAAAAGCTATTACAGTAGCGTTAATAGACATGCACGTGAAGGATCACGTGGCTGAGTTACTTGCGCAGAGAAATAATTTATTTTTCAAAGCCGGTAATAGGTCAAAGCCACTAGAAAATTCTTTAAAGCAAAAAGAGAAGGAAATAGTTGAGCCTTCAGGTACAAAGCCACTGGACCACACTTACTACTCTTCATGCCCAAAACCAATTCGTATTAATAATATAAGGGGGAATAATTCCTACTAGAGGGCTAAAGGCCTAAAATAAATACTCTCTCATTATCTCTACATCCAATCAAACAGAATCCCACCGTGATATTGTTATTGCAGCCTCTTCTCTAACAGTTCAAGGCGAAGAATTAGGTGATGAAGCAGATGATGAAGCTGGGCTAGGAATTTACTCGTCAATCATTCCAAGGCCAATAACGGATATATCTCCAAGTTTTGGAGACGATTCTGAATTATCCTCTCATTCTTTCAGCGATCATCTTGCTCTCCCTTGGTATGACTCGGAAGATCAAGTGGCTAATCCTACAGTCATTGAAATATCTAAGTGGACCAAGTTAGTTCTGGGAAAGGCATGCAAAGCAATTGGGGGTAATGTTTGCAGGTTTGAGAATGAAATGTTGGATATGATTTTAAGGATGGAGCAAAGGTGATAACTAGAGCTAGAATTGAAAAGGCAAAGTGCAGCAAAGGGAAAGAAACATCAAGGAAGAAGGGGAAAAAAGAAGCTAAAAGGTTAGTGTGCTCAGTAAACTATGGTAATGGGGCAAAAAAGGTAAGGGGTAGGAAATACCAATCTTTTTCCGGATAAAAGTTAAAATTATTAGCTGGAACATAAAGGGTTTGAACAAAATTGAGAAGAGGACGACCGCCAGAGCACTCGTCAGAAAATAGAAACCGAATATTTTATGCCTTCAAGAAATAAAAATCGACAAATAGACTGAAGCTTTGTCAAAACAAATTTGGGGTAGCAGATGGGCAAGCTGGGTAGAGCTTAGGGCCAATGGTACTAGGGAGGAGTTACAATCATTTGGGATATGAGGGTATGGAATTGCATTGACAATCATCTGGGGACTTATTCCATTTCATGTTTACTAGATAGTAGATCAGAAAATTTCAGGTGGGGATTTACAGGAGTATATGGCCCTCATACCAACCTAGAAAGGGAAGATTTGTGGAATGAACTTGGTGCAGTTAGAGGAATCTGGGAGGACCAATGGGTGATATGTGGGGGTTTTAATGTATGTAGGTTTGAAAGTGAAAAACATAATTGCATAAGAAGGTCAAGGGTTATGAGGGGATTTTCTGATGTAATCCGGGACCTATGCTTGGTGGACATACCACTTGAAGGGGCTTGTTACTCCTAGTCAAGAGGGGAAGAGAGCATTCAAGCTTCAAGAATAGATAGGTTTCTCATCTCTTCGGAATGGAATGACTCTTTCAACAAGATCAAACAGTTTACCCTTCCTAAAGTTGTATCTGATCATGTTCCTTTACTACTAGAATGTGGAGACTGGGATCACAATTCCTCTTATTTTAAATTCGAAATATGTGACTAAATATGGAGGGATTCATAGATAAGGTCAAGGCATGGTGGCTTAGCTATGAGGTTAATGGCAACCAGGATTTCATTCTCACTCAAAAGTTGAAATTCTTAAAGAAAGACCTCTCAATCTGGAACAAGGAAGAAATTAGGAAGATACAAATAAAGAAAAACAAAGCATCCGGGAGCATTATGTCAATTCAGCAATCCACAGAAGGCACACCACAGACCAGGGAAGAGAAGCTAAAGCTCTTAAGTTTGCAGCAAGAGTTTCAGCATATGGCTAAGGTAGAGGAAGTGTCATGGAAGCAAAAATTTAGGTGCTTATGGCTACAAGAGGGTGACAGGAACACAAAGTTCTACCAAATGGCTGCTAACTCAAACAGAAGGACAAACTATATTGACAAGTT